ATTTTAAATGCAACGGGTTAAATTTGATCAAACAACATTTTGTACCACCTGCTATTGGTAATTAACATGAGAAGTGATTTAGTTAGCCTGGGTGAATATAGTCGGGGGCTAAAACTTATAAAGATAATTCATAATTTTCAATCGTTCTTAGTACAACCAAGGTCATTTAGTTGAGTATTATATTCATACAAGCCATTATAATGAGATTCCCCCCCACCCCCCCAAAATCCTCAATATACTATCTAGCTAAGAGGTCATTATTCACAGCAGCATTTGACACACCCTGCCACGGCAGTAAAGAAATGCCAAATGTCTCAAGTTTATGCTGTAAAGGGCATTGACATGTTCAATTTTACCTTTGATAGTGACAGAGAACAGCTTCAGATGACCACAAATAAGAGGGTGTACTGTTCTGATCTACCAACGTTTCTTTTTTCCCCAAAAACTCACCCAGAGTTTGCAATATACTGTATTTTCTTCCCAAGCTTAGATTTTTGTGAAGGTATAAAAATTAATGTAAATTTTGAAAAAGTCATAAATTGTCTTGTAAAAGACAATGTGTTTGTGAGTTATAGTAATTGACTAGATCTTTATTTATATATAACCCACTATACATCTATGCTATCTTGCATATGTTTTGGCATGTAAAACTTAAGAAATTGAAGAAAATCAACCATTAATCTGTGCTTGAAAAGTGAAAATCATTTCTGTTAAATGGCATTTTAAAAATGAAAACATTCTAGGGGCGCCCGGGTGGTTCAGTTGGTTAAGCCATGGACTCTTGATTTTGGCTTAGATAATCATCTCCAGGTGGGTGGGATCGAGCCCCACGTGGGGCTCTGTGCTGACAGCCTGCTTGGGATTCTCTTTCCCTCTCCCTCTGACCCTCCCTTGCTTGCGCTTTCTCTCTCTCTCAAAATAAATAAATAAATAAATAAATAAATAAATAAATAAACAAACAAACAAACAAACTAAAACATTCTATTTAATAGGCAAATCATATAGCTTATGAATTAATACTTGGACACTTAAAATTACTTTTTTCAGTTTCTTTTTCTCAGTGAACTGAATTTTTATACTGGCCTTGTAGAAATGTGTTATAGTTATCCAATAGATAAGTATAAATCAAGTAAGTTTACTTCTTATCTTGTGTTGTTTTTTTTTTTTAACGTTTTTATTTATTTTTGAGACAGAGAGAGACAGAGCATGAACGGGGGAGGGACAGAGAGAGAGGGAGACACAGAATCAGAAGCAGGCTCCAGGCTCTGAGCCATCAGCCCAGAGCCCGACGCGGGGCTCGAACTCATGGACTGTGAGATCGTGACCTGAGCTGAAGTCGGACGCTCAACCGACTGAGCCACCCAGGCGCCCCTCTTGTGTTGTTTTTTTATCAATACATTGTACATAGCTTTTCATAACATGACTTCATGATTTAAACAGCAAAACTGACTCTATTTCTTGGCCTGAGACCAGTTAAATAACCACTGAGGCAAGCAGTTATTACCTGCTTAAAAGGAAATCTGTGGTTTCTTTATTTACTGCTGAGTTTTAATGTCCATCAAAAAGTCTGTTATTGCAATGAATAATTTAGCTTTTTCAGTCTGCTACTCATTTTCATACTACAAGCATGGGTTTAAGGATACACAATCTGCCCAAAGTTTCTCCCAGTCCCAAGAATCAGAATCATACTTGCTGCAAGACAATAGTTATGTAGTTATATTCACCGTTCGAAATGATATCAAAATGATATATGTTTAAAGAACAATAATTCATAATAATTACTTGGAAAAGGAAAGCTGCAGTTTCAGATTTATCAAAAGTAGTTGGAGAAAGGATTGATCATAAAGGCCTCAAAAACCTGTATATGCACACGTAAGTGGATATAGAGGACCCTTTGTAAAAAGACTAAAAGGTCAATGGATTTGGAGATGTAGGAGTGTCATTTCCTCTGTTTGTCCCTTGGTGGAGTTCTTGAGTCACTTTCTCCCTTCCCGTCAAACTGCTTTATATTTCTTTCCAGAACTGGCTATCATGTTTACTGTATTTAACCTTTTTCTTGTACTATTGCGAATACAGCGTCTATAATAAATGAAAGCCCCCCTGAGATCATATCTTCGGCACCTACTTCTTTGTATTCTTACCCATAAACTTTTGTTGTCACTGTGACTTCCCTTCCTGTCTTTTTGAGGCTGAAACTACATCACGGACCCTGAATGCTATTTTTCAGCTCAGTCACTGAAATTTCTTAACGGCAACGCAGCTTTAAGATGGCAGGGTTAGCAGGTAAATTTAAAACAACAATAACAACAAAACTACCGAATATGATAAGCATAGGGTAGGATATTTGGCATAGAAAAAAAGCAATCGTTGGCCAAGCTTTGATTAAATGTCTATGAAAACGGGACATTTCTATTTTAGTGAATTTCATTTTTTTTTCATATCTTGGTTTCAAGTGGTCATTTAAAAAAAAATATGCCTTTAAAAATAAAACGAGAGGAACCACAAATCCCCAACATTTCAACATGCTCTCAAATATTTTGCCTCCTGCAAGCGATGACGTCCTCGCCCTCTGAGCAACTCAGGCTTTGGGAAACTGATCTCGTTTTCTCTCTTCAGTTCTGGCCGCCAAAGCAGCAGCAACAGCAGCACGGCAGCAACGGGCTCTTTAATTTATTGCAGCCGGTTACACTTTCGATCCCATTTCCTTCTGAACCCTTTCCTCTCAGGTTGAGAAGATAAATGCAGCCTCGAGTCTGAAAAGCCGGGCGGGGTTTGTGGGTGGGAGCGAATCCGGATATCATATTCCCGTGGTGAGGTCTGGTACCGGGGGGGATTAAGTCCCCCAGTTCCATTTAATGAAACTGCTGAGCACTTGTGACACTGGCTCTAAGACTGCGGAAATGGGGCGGGGGTGGGGGAAACGGCTTCTCGCCTCCATTCATCCTCCGCGCCGGCGGGAGGCTGGAGTTGGAGTGTCAGTCCCCAGACAGGGGGCGGAAGAGGATTGGGAGCTCCGACCGCGGCAAGGGCGCCCCGAGGGCTCCTCTCACCTCGCCCACACCCGCGCCCCGCCCATTCGGTTCCCTTTCCCCAGAACCGCGCCGCAGGGCAAAGCAGCCGCTCCTTGGCCGCTCAGGCTGGAAGGTCGGAGGCGGGGAACGATGAGGGAGGGAGGAAAGCCAGGAGGCTTCGTGGCCAGGGCAGTCTGGCGCGCTGTTCTCCATGCCGCACACGTCGGACCCATTTCCCACGCTGGCTTGGCTCGGCGGTGGAGTTGGTAGGGATGCGTAGAGAGGGCGGACTGGAGACTACCTCCAGCTCGCAATGAGAAAACCACTCCACTGTGAAGGACGCGCTGCACACCCCCCCTCCCCACCATCATTGGGGAAAAAAAAAATGCAGCGCTCTGGGGAAAAGCCTCCCACTCCTTCGCCCCTCACTAGTGTGCGCCTGGAGAGTGCGCGCCGGAGCGGTGGGCGAATGTTTCAAGATGCTCACGGGCTTGTTCAAGTTTATGGTCTGGCGAGGGAAGCGGGAGTGTACAACGTCTCTGCCCACGCGGCTGCCTGAAGTTTGCAAAATCTTAGTAAGGCGGTTAGGGGAGTGCGTGCACTGCACCATATTGCCGCGCATCGGAATGCACCGGTGCAAGGCCGCGGAAGAGAACAAGCTTCCCTGTTTCGCCTAGGACCCTAGGAAAAAAGCGACCGGGAGTCGTGGGAGACAAGAATTCTGATAAACCAGAGTTTTCCACATATGAGGGGATTTAGCATTACAGCCACTTAGCGGGCCTCGGAAACGTTGCGACGCCCGCCCCCGCCCCCCCGGCTCCAGACTGCGGCGGTGCACACTGAGTCTGCGCGCGGGGTTTTTCTCGCTGATGCTGCAGATATAGAGCGGAGTGGCTCGGGAGGCGGCGGGCTGGGGGAATGTGGGGGTGGCCGGGTTCCCGGCCTGGCCCCGGAGGAGAAGCCACTACACCCTGAGTGCTAATGCTTTAGCAGACTGGAAAATACTCGCCAGCTCCCTGGCACTTTCATCCTCCGCGCCTCCACGGTCTCGCACAGGGAGACCTTGGAGATCTCTGCCGCCTCTCCCCCCATTCCTGCTGTCTGCGCCCGCCCAAACAACGGCGCGCTACATCTGCTCGTAGACTTTATTGGTGTTTGTCTTGTTTAAATCATCTTTCCTCCTCACACGGGTCTCGTAAAGGCTGAGTACCCACTCTGGAAGGATTTCTGTTTTCTTCTTTTCGTCTTAAATTTTCCTGTAAGGGGAGGCCCTTCGATGCCTATAGATTGGGCAGACTAGCTGAGGACCAACCAAATCCCACCAGCAGCTTCTTTTCCCTTTTGAGATGATAAGATTCTCTCCAAACATCTCCTGCCAGCCTGAACCCCCTTAATCCTGGCGCCCCCCCCCCCAGCCCCTGAAATAAATGAAGAGCGAATGGCTACAGTTTTTAAAACACAACCGGAGCTGAGGATCTGATGAGGCAGGCTGCGGTGGCTGTGATTGAAAACTGGGGAAGCCTCGCGTGGGGGAATACCATGTACGATCAAGTGGCACAAAGTCAAAAGAAGGAGAGAAACGGAACTAGGGACACTTCGGTACACAAAGTTGCCATTAAAGTTTATTTCCCTTTTATCCAGATAGGTGACGCTACACTTTACCAGTTACTAAAGGCTGCAGGTTTCAGCTCAGAAAATAACATCGAGGCTTCCAACATGTGTTTATTCCCCAGGCGCGCGCACACACACGGTCTACCCCCGTAAGCAAGCACGACGACAGGAATGCCAAGCATTTAAACAAAGACAGGCACCACCCCATCCCCTCAACGCCAGCCCTCCGAAGTCTGCACTCCCAAAAAAGGATCCCTCTCTAGCTCTCTCTGGAGTTTGATGTTCTCGCTTAACCACTGCAGCCCATCATGGTTTCTCAGAACACCAACGTGGCTCCCTGGGCGCGCACGCGGGATCCCCCAAGCCACTGTGAAGCCAATGCCCAAACCAAGATGCGAAATCGCGAAACGGAGACACTTGAGGGGGTGGGGAACAACGTCTGAGAAGGGGGAGAAGAAGAAACCTTTCCTGACACCCGCTCCAGCGCTCTCACACTCGCACACGGCATTAGTCAGAGAGAGGAGGAAATCTACCAGCCCCGGGGAGGGAAAGCGAGTCCCCCGAGAAGACAGTGGCTGCGCTCGTTGGGAAGAGGGGGAGAGGCTTTGGCTTAAAGGGGACGGGACTGACTGGGATTGTGCACGTAAGGAGTGGCCCCCGGCGCTGAAGCTGGGCTTTCCGGAGCCGGGTGGCTGGTTAGTACTCCCTCCTGCCTTCCTCCCTTCAGCTCTTCACCCTCCCTCTCTGCGAATGTGTAGTTTCGGCGGCTCGGCTGCCACCTCCGCCACCGCCGCCGCCGCCGCAGCGGCAGTCGCGTCAGGGACAAGCTTGAGCCGCAAGCGAGCAAGCGAGCTCCCAGCAGCAACCACCACTTTGGGCAAACTTGCGGGTTTCCGGCTCTCGGCTAGCGAGCGGGAGCTTCCTACTTGCCATTCAGTGTCTTTGAGCCTTGGCAGCCCTAGGGGCAGCGAGCGCGCCCGCACCAGACTCTCCCAGACGCGAAAGGGTACGAGACAACTGCGGAATTCACCCGCCGTGCCAGGGCACTTCCGAGGAAACAACCGACTGGCACTTTTTCTCCCCTTGGCAAACTGGATATTTTTTTTTTTTTTA